TGTGTGTGTGTGTGTGTGTGTGTGTGCACCTGCCCATCTACATGTCTGAGCGTCTTTCCCACAGTGCAGCAGGGTGAAGTACGATGGAGAGATTTGACACTTTCGGAGTCTTTATTACAAGCAGCTGCTTTAGATTTATTTCCCTGAACTGCACTTTTCTGGAAAAATCATTGTATTGTGATTTTTTATTACTCTTACGATCCCCTAGAAGTCCCACAATTGCCTTTTCCTCTGGCACTCTGCTTCCTTCACTTTCCTCTTCTTCCTCCCTCCAGTGCAGAGCTCGGCCACGTTCGCTCACTGCCCTTGTTCCCTCAATGCGCAGCCTTCCTCCTCACCTCTCTCTGTCCCCTCTCTCCTCTTACACTCGACTCCAACCGCTGACCCACAGCGCCCACCGCCTCCCCCCTTCCCTCCCATGATCCACTTACTTCCAGCTGTTTTTCATGCTGAAGAAGACAGTTGTCTAAATGTTTACGTGAAGAGCTACTTTCTTTTTCTTTAGGCCCTGATCAATTTCCAACATTAACTTTGTGGCATGTGTTAAAATACAGCAGATGATGAGCCAAATCTAAAAGTCTGACATCGTTATTGTATTCTGATCCTGGGGCCAAGAAACGGCTTACAAAGGGGAGATTAAAGACAGCATATCATTGTAGAGGAAATGCAGAATAATGTGAGGGGAAATGTTCGGGGGAAAATATGCTCAGAAAGATGCCAGTAAAGTAAACATGTATGAAATTGCACAATTGAGCCGGGCCTCGGCTGCGCCAGCCAAGTCATGCGCTGAGATGGAGGGAACAAGTGAGGGAGAAGGGTGGAGAGAGGTAAATAAGCAGTAACAGAGAGAATAGCTTGTGCTCGATGGTCATAATCTTCAGTAAATAACAAAGAAAAACTGGTGACGTTGTGTTTCTTCACCTCTTTTGTTTTAACCTCGTTCTTGAGCTTACTCTAATTATCCCCCTCCTCTTTTTTTAGGAAATTATCTTGAAAGGAAAGTTTTTATTTCCTTTTCATTGTTCATTTCTGCAGGTCATTGCCAAGGTTTTTTTTTACGTTCATGTCAGCATGCCCCCTGAGATGTCATCCTCTTCCCAGACCTAACAATTATCACCCAATCAGCATGACCCACAGTGGGCTCTTTGTAGTCCAGTATAGGGGAAGGGGGCTCTGGCTGCTCATGTCCTCCTCCTGCATCTGTTCAGCCTGCATCTCTGTGTCTGTCTCTACCATAGACACACACACACACACACACACACACA